CTGCTGGGCTCCGGCGATCCTTCCGCCTCAGCCTTCCAAGTAGCTGGAACGACAGGCGCATGCTACCACGCCCGGATAATTTTTTTTATCTGTTGTAGAGATGAGGTCTCACCAAGTTGCCCAGGCAGGACTCGAACCCGCGGGCTCAGGCAATTCACACACCTCGGCCTCCCAAAGCGCTGGGATTACAGGCTGAGCCACCGAGCCCGGCCGACGAGAGTTACCATTTTTAAAGAAAATGTGAGAGGAGTGTGTGCTTGTTTATGTATCTAATATTGCCCAATGGGCACACAATAAGCTGGCAACAATGGTTGTCTCTGGGGAGAACTGGGGGATTGGGAACCGGGGTGGGAGAACAACTTTTCACTGCTCTATTTGGAACCATGTGAATATATTATCTGTTCAAAATATAAGTAGAACTGATGTTAAAGAGACCATGCTCTTAGCTACCAGTGTTTGCCCAGGTTGCCTGGGTGTGAGATACCTGGATGTTTGTTAGAAACAGATTCCAGAGACACACCCAGCCCCATCAGAATCAGACTCTCCAGGGGGCGGACTTGGAAAGGACATTTTACAAGCCAAGCTGGCAACTCATGAGTCCAGGCAAGTTTAGGAAAGAGAACCGAGCACTGCAGGATCCCAGCCCAGAAGTCACTGCAGCTGGATCACGTGTCTCTGCGGAGGCAGGAAGGAGGCTCTCTAAGGACCTTCTGGGGCCTTCTGTGGGGGGGTCACACAGGGTTCCTGCCCAGCCAGAAAGGTGGACCCTGAGCCCATGACGTTGGACCCCAAAATCTGCAGGAGGGAAGAGGGCCCCTTCTCTGCTCAGCCCATGGAGCTGCTTTTCACCAGGTCCCAGCCTGCACGGGAAAGAGCTGGAGGCCACACTTTTCAAACTGCTCCTCAAGACTCTTGGGGTTCCCTGGAAGCATCTCGGGAAACAGCAGTGGGAGGGAAACAGGCGTTAGGCCTGCCGACGGCCCACCCAGCTTTCACTTGCAGTCAGAGCATTTTCTTTTATAAACCACTTTATATACTGGGTCTCTGGAACAGACAAGAATCTCAAACTCCAGGGCCAAGCAAGTAACATAAGTGAAGCTGACCTGGTGTGGGACAAAAGGGAGTAGTGGGGACTGTGGCAATAACAGGCTCTGGGGACTGGGTGTGGTGGCTCACACCTGTAATCCCAGCACTTTAGGAGGCTGAGGACGGAGGACTGCTTGAGCCCAGGAGTTTAAGACAACATAGTGAGACTTCATTTTTCCAAAAAAAATTTTTTTTTTTTTTTTTGAGTTGGAGTCTCACTCTGTCGCCCAGACTGGA